ACCCCCCCCCCCTTACACACACACCCACACCCTATGAAAACCCGACATGTACATGGTAAAATTAAGCTTGTAACGTTTGAGGCACTGACTTGATTTTTGAGAGCCTAGTTGTCTGATGGTTACCTTTGTCTCGGGACCACTCCCCATAACTATTTTAAAGGATGGATGTGACACTTTAAATGTTTGACTTTTGTAGTAATATCTTTTTCTAATTGTGTAATCGAAATGTCACTAGCCTAGATTTTTAATATTCTGCTTTTTGGTGCCGCTACTGTATTTGCTCAGGATAACTATTATTTGTCACCGCTGAGGCTTGTATCCACTGCAGTCTATTTCAATGTATTATACATTTAATTGTCTATGGTTTCTGACAGAAATTAGTGATAATGGGAAGAATTCAGGTAAAAACTGTTTGCTCCTTTACTACCCAACGAATACTTTGTCATCGATTTTCTGAACGGGTGAAGTTTACTGTGACACGATTGGGGTTATCTGTGTATACTTAATACAAATAGTGTTAATAATGGGGCCTATTTACCCTCTTACACCTCCAGATCGAAGTCGAAGCCGACATAAAGACGTTAGACTCCTTTATTTCATACTAACTGCCGCCAATTTAGTAATCTATTTACTTTTTAAGCGTGTTGCTGAAGACAATATGGTCAAGGTCTTTCGAATGATATAGCTATTTAGGAAGATTTTAACGACACTATGGCACATTTTCTGTTCACATTTAAGTTTTAAACGGCCTTGATTCACATTTTAAAAAACCGACTCCTTTTCTTGCTCTGGAGATATCAAATCACACGCAAAAAAGTTACCATAGTACATCAGATCGGAGGAACTTATTATTTAAAACACAGTTGTTTTCTACGAAAGTGATAGAATTATCTTTTGCCACCAGTTGCAGTCTGATTTCCTGCTCAAAGAAATTCCAAGTTCGCTTTGTATTGAAATAAAGCAATGTCAGGTATGTGTAGATCGATCAGCTTCGTAAGCTGAAATCAAACAGCCAAGACGGAGTATAAATTCCTTAAGAACTGTTCATCCCGCTTCACATCTTGCCAGCTACAACACACGTACCAATATTGTAAGGATCGTGGTATTAACTATTGACAAAGGTCTTTGCTTTTAATCTGGTCCTCGTATCAGAAGCAGTAAAACTTGTGTTTTTATAAACCACCGTTTTTGGGTGTGTTTTTTTTTTTACTTGTTTGCTTTGTTTATTCAACCCATAGCACAATCTGCTTGGGTGTGAATTGTGGAAAAAAAACTCAGTCAATTTTGCTTGGACTACAGCTAAAAAAATCCCACAACAACCTGTCATCTGTCAAATTGGTGATTCGTCATGGTGAATTCATCTCCAAACGTAGCGTCAAACTCAAACATAACAAGGGAAGTTAGCCACCATCTCTCTTCTACGCCAAGAATCGTGAGTGACGAGGTGAGGGATTTCATCGAGTTATCCCTCTTCCATGTGGCGACAACGTCTTTGGGTTTCCTGGGTGTGTTGACCAACTCTCTGTGCGTGGCCGTCTACAGCAAGCAGGGCCGAAAGGACAGTGTAACTGTGTCCCTCCTCGCTCTGTCCCTCAGCGACTTGGGTCTTTCTCTTATGACTTTCTTAAGTGTGGTCAGCTTCATGGTAGAACGATTCGCGCCACTACCCAAAATGAACTTCATTGCTTTTCAATACGTTGTCCTGGCCTACACCGCTGGCTGTTTTTACGGCATTTCCACAATTCTCACCATGTATTTGTCCCTGGAGAGATGTATTTGCGTGGCCATCCCGTTTCACGTGAAAGGAATGTTTACAAGGAATAGGTCTATAGTTGTGACAATGTTCATCACTATTTTCTGCCTTTCGTGTTATGCTCCAGCATGGGCGACTCAATCGTTAAAAGGGAAACATTCCCCCATCTACAACACCTCTCGTCTTACGCTCTCCTTAACGTCTAACAGAAGAAACATTGATATTTTCGTTGACTCTTTCATAGGCATAGTTTTGCCTTCCGTTGCTCAAGTCGTGATAACCATCTGCACCGTTGTCATGATTTCAGTTCTAAACGCATCAGCGAGTTTTAAAAAGAAAATGGCTAACAAAACTGGAGGCGGAAACAAGAACGACAAAGACCTAAAACAGAAAAAATCAAAGCCAGCAAATCTCTCAGATAGTCAGTGGCAGACAGCTAAAGACGTCATGACGGAGAAAAGCTCAGAAGATGTTCAACAGCCCACTGACAAGACTCTGTCCTCTAAGGAGGCTCGAGTTGTGAAGATGGTTGTCTTAGTAGCGCTTATTTTCTTTGTATGTAACGCTCCTGTTCTCGTTACTTCTTACACTCGAGCTTTCGTCACTGAGATGGACATAGGGAAGGCGTACAACAACCTGTATGTAACTGTGTATGTTGGCGTCTACTTTTCCAACTCCTTCAACGCCTGGGTTAACATTCTCGTATATTACAGGTGCAGCTCCAAGTTCAAAGAGACTCTCCTGACTATGGTAAGGGCTAGACATAGACTATAAGCAGATACATAACAACGTATTATAGTCTTTGATATAGGTATAGCGAGTTTGAACTATGATGGTAAGGGCAAAGGAAACAGTGACTGTAAGCACTTTGACAGCAACAAAGTACAGCTTTAATAAGTATGACTTGGTTTAGGGTTGCGAAAAACAGATTGTAAACACTTTGGCAGCACCCTCGGTCTATATAGCTTTAAAGAGTATGACTATATTACCTTAAGGGCTAAAGAAAAATAGACGGTAAACAGTTTCACAGCAAAATATTAGATTCTATGGCTTTAATGTGTATGATAATGATAAGGGCTATGGCAACATATTAATTTTTTGTAAGCAGTTTGACAGTCGTAGTACAACTTTAATTTGTATGACTTTGGTGCTCCAGTGGCTGAGTGGTAAGAGACTTCGACTCACAATTATTAATGTCAAGCGTGTGTCGGTGACACGCCGTTTTGATTGGTGGTCACTGGAATGTGTCCTTGAGCAAGACACGATCAAACTAGCCCCCACCCCCAAACAGGGTGCTGCATAGAGGCAACCAAAAATGGTGTGTGGGTTGTTTATATGCTTGCGATATTGTGCATTATTCATGCATTTATGTATTATTGTATTCATTTGTTGATGTGTGCCATCGTAAAACACACTTACCACAGTGATCAATAAAGTGGAAAATTATTAAATTGATTAATTTATCTAGCTTATAAGTTATGTATTTGTCCCTGGAGAGATGTATTTGGGTGGCCATCCCGTTTCACGTGAAAGGATTGTTTACAAGGAATAGGTCTACAGCTTCCTTCTTCTTCTTCTTCTTCTTCTTCTTCTTCTTCTTCTTCTTCTTCTTCTTCTTCTTCTTCTTCTTCTTCTTCTTCTTCTTCTTCAAGGT